GTGATAGTTAAAATATAATTTGAAATGGGTTTGTATAGTACAGGATGATCAAAGCGCATAAGAAAGATAAATTTTCAATTTTAGACAAGTATTATATATATACTATAAAGGGAGTCTGGAAGTGTACAAAAGGTGTAAAAGATTGTTTAGGTAAACACGAATAGGCTTCAAGCAGATATAGGGATTTTGTATGGCATCAACGTACAACTACGTATACATGTAGGGTGTGTCTTACAAATACAACTTCAGTTCCACAGTTAATTGAACATTATATACATGGTAATAGGGAAGGTCTGACATACACACCTGTTTGCTATTGATTCTCGCCCATCAATTTTGTTATCGTGTAAACGGAAAAGGCAGTCATTCTGGGTAGCTTTTATGGATGAACATAAAATATAAACCTATATAACGTAGAATTAATTTTACAAAGTGACCAATCTTACAGACAGCTGGAACAGAAATGTAGCAGAAGATGCATTTGGTCTCACTAATGTTATTCTTTGACAGCCACTCCGTACGTCAGGACAAGAGCAAGAAGCTCCTGGACAGCATGGTCCTGGGAGGGGATAAATCATTCGACAGTTTCTGTACCGGTCTTAGGAAGGACGAGAAGTTGGACTGGCTGGCAGACACTTTGGAGGGCCAGGGTTCGTCAGCTGTTTCCCACTTTGTTGTAAATCTGATATCCTGAGCAAGCTGTTAAACAAGGGTTACGTAGGTCTTTCGATAGTATGGAGAAACAACCCAAATAGCCTTCTAAAGATGTAAAAGTGATGGTACCTGCCCATGGCCATTTGCAGATCAGTGTGGCAATGAACGTGGATATGGTCCAGCTCGTTTTGTAACGTTAACATATACCCCGTTTATATGATACCCCGCGCTAACTTTGTCAACTCAATTGTATGTTTACAATACTGGTACCAATTCAGGTATTTCTTCTACATTACAAGGCTGGGCTAATAAGAAACATGGCATTATATTCGTTAACAGTGTCTTTAATGACTGCCGATTTTGTCAACAGGGTTATCAATGGACAATCGCAAACGACTGGAGGCACACGAGAAGCTACTGGTGAACAAGATGGACCCTGGCTCAACTCTACAATACCTTACACAAAACCAGGTAATGGTTCAATCCTTCGGTAACTGAGAAACTAGTGTCAATAAACACCATAATGACCTGAATGTACATCAGACAGTTTATTTCATACGTGTATCCTTGACAAGCATTTTAATGAATAGAATACAATATGAACATTGGGTATGTGAACAGCATCATTACTTTACAGACCTATGTTTCACCAATGTTTTACCAATGTTGAATCCTGAAAAAACATTTTGGAATTGTTTTGCTACCGTCTTTGTAGCACAGCCAATGTCTTTTAACACTCACTAATCCAAATCTAGGAAGTTTCCTTAAACACCTTGTTTGCACATTGTTCTGCTGGATTTTCTAACATGAGTTTGACGTGTATTTTAGATCTTCACTAACGACATGGCGGAGTATTGCAATGACGCCAGCTCTACCGAGGAACAGAACAAACGCATCCTCCACCTGATGAAGTCTCGCAGCGATGAAGACTTCAATATCTTCTGTTCGGGACTGAGGGCCAACGGACAGCATGCCCATATTGCTGACCTTCTGCAAGGTAAGCATGTGCACAGTATTGTTAGGAAATGTCTATAATCCAGTAACATTGGAGAATTATGGTTGTAGTAAAACATACTAGTATTTGGCACATAAGTGTCTATGTCTACGTAGTAAAATATGTTTGATGTTTCACATGTTCACTCCCCATATCTGACTTTCTAGTAAAAAAAACATCCAACCATCTGCAAGACAAGTGTCATGCTATCCATGTACATGTGTATTAGGTTTTGCTTGAGTTATAAGGTAACGGTTCTATATTGTCGGTTAACATGATAAAGCTGACTTAAATGGAGTTTATGGATGCATTTCAGGAGGAGGGATTGATATGGCCACAAAAGATGTGATTATGGAAGATGAGATCGTGAAGACGGGTATGACCCTAAACCAGTCTGGGACAGGACTGGGACTGGGTGCGGCTGGGGCTGGATTGGGACTGGGTGCGGCCGGGGTTGGACTGGGCACTGCTGCCGCCGGCCTGGCTGCCTCCAAAGGAGGAATGGGTATCGGTGGTACCCAGAGTACCTCTGCGTCAGGGCTGAAATCCTCTTCAGCGTTTGGAGCAGACCTGGGGCTCGGTGGTACCGCTGGACATGGAGTGGACTTCAAGGGTCAACATCTCAATGGAGGTTCGCTGAGACGTCAATATTTTTTCATTAAATTAAATATGCTCATCAATATCCAGTGCATGTATGTCCAACTTAATAATACAATAACTCTATACTACGGGTTACTTCACTGTTTGTGCCAACTGTTTTCCAAACCAAATATTTACATTGAGTACAAGATGTATGATAGACAATTACCACTTTGACTGTGTATTGTCAGATTGTCATCATTCACCATGTCGACTATGGTTATGAATATATAGTTGTTACCGGCCGGTATGCTTTTTCGAATGTCAACAGCTGCATATGCATATTTGACACTAACAAAACGAAATCTTAAAAAGAATAGTTCCATTTACTTGTTGCCAATAGTTCAAGTATCTGGCATCTTTGATGCTGTCATTGCTGTCAATATGCTTTTAATTGTCTTCTCAACGCCACCGATAAGGCTACTGTTTGCCATTACATGTATCTACTAGTATCTAAACGTGAACTGTGACTATTCTAGCCGTTGTCAAGGGCGCTGGCCATAAGTATCGGATCGAGGCCACAGCTCCACAAGGCAGCCTGATGTCCGCCTCCTCCACCGTGGTTCCCCCGGGTCAACCCGTCATCCTGGAGGTCAGGGGAGAAGGTACGTCCTGTTCGCAGCCTGTGTTTACTTATAAGCTTGCATAGGAAAAACACCAAGAATACATGTATTCTGAACGATATTCAGCTGTTACATTTTGCTAGCTGTGACCAAGTAACAAAATTAAATTACAACGACCGCTTAATTTTCTGCAGTTGACCAGGTTCAGTGGCTCTACAATGGGGACGTCATTAGAGGAGATCCCGGCATCACCGCAAATTCGGACGGGTTTCTACACGAGCTCCACATCGACCGTATGTCTCCTGAACGGGACGGGACCTACACATGCAGGGGAGAGACGCCTGACGGAGGGGTGGTGGCTTGTGACATCAAGGTTCAGACCTTAGTTTGATGGCCGCAAACTCCTGTCGATTGTCCTTTGATGAACAACTTATGAATTATGCATAGCACAACTGCAGTGTTGCAAGGGGTAAAATCTTGAAAAGATGCACTAATGTATAGTACCTTTTATGGTTAGTCATTGAATATTATCTGGCTGGTTATAAGCTGTATTATAAAGAAATTAGTTATGACATAGGCGAAATTAAGCATCAAGAAAGTGACTACGATCTGTCGTTCAGGAATTTTGAACTGGATATGAAGTAGAATCATAATTCTATTTTGAGTAAAATATATGAATGACTATGACAATGAAGTGTCTCATGTAGACAACAGGCCAGTTACTGGAGTATGTGAGAAAGCTGGAAATGTATTACACGAAGCAGCTACCGCGGACTCTCTCTTGTCAGTAGTGGTAAAGCAGTATAAGGGGTTTGCACAGAGGTAGACCTTAGGGCGCAGGCGCTGATAGGTGGATTTCTAGAATAGTTATGACCTTATTCTGGGTCAAAAATAGTAGGATCAGCATAAGCATTTAATGGAAAAATATACTGCAAATGTATATATACATATGAGGCAATTGCATTGTTACTTTTATTTAATTGTTGCCACGTTTAGAAATAAAAAGTCTTGTCTTTGTTGCTTTGCCAGAAATTAGGTGCAAAATCTTGTTAAAACAAATATGTAGAGCTAGGAAGTATGATCATAGACACACAATATATAACGATTCGAAGAGAATTTCTTGCATTTTTGCCCACGACCAAGTTCCCTCCTGGTATGTGCGGGACTACTTGCGGGACTTATTGATAGATGAATGAACCAAATGATTAGCATATTGATCGTCTTATAAGATCACCGTTAGGTTTTATTTTTTTCAGAACAAGTTATACGATTTGGGGTTCTTATGGTGATGTTTTTGACGTTAGATGGGAATTAAAGTTTCAGTACTGGGATAAGAATCAGTCTGTTGTGTCTTTGTCGAACAGTACAATATACTGTATATTGTTGTCTGCAATTTTCAGTCCAGCAATGACTGGTGTACGTACTGTTTTTCTTTCAGTTGTAAATAAACTTCATTAATTCAAGCGAGAAGGTATTAAAATAAACCTGTTTGTTTTAATAGTAAATGAAACAACCTCCTCGTTTCGAGGAAGTATGCCCAGTTGCACCAAGGACGTTCTATGTAACGTCCTTGGTTCCACACATAGCTTTCCGCAGCCGTGGCGACTACTTAGTCTACTAGTATACTACTATAGTAAGTATATAACTACATGTAGCTACAGGTCATCGAATTGCTGGGCGCTGTAGTTAGGCAAACCACGAATGACCGCAACACGGGCCAATGAGTTAGGCAAATTTGGCAGACTATTCCATGCATTCAAGGGGTGTTAAGATAGAGATAAGAGAGAAAATGTTTTAAAAAATGGTCAATTTAATGCCTTGATGGATTTTATTATGGGAATTTAAACTAACATGCTAGATTTCAGTGACAATAAACACCAAAATTGTGTTTTTTTCTGTTATAAAAATTTTGTAACAAATAATATCATTCAAGGTAGAACATTCCCTTCCCGTCATGCTCCACAACGGTTCTGCAAAATGGCGTCTCTTGGCGGGACGCTCAAGTAAAGTTGTCGAAACGAAACATTTCTTAAATTGGCGTAATTTCCAAAAATACGTACATCCTGTGGTCTAAGAAACTCCTGGATAATTCTTTAGAAAATGGGGACACCAGTGGATTGCGATCGTGTGTCTTCTATCTCTACGTCCATGGGAAACAGCCCAGATTGGACGCCGCTCGCCTCGGCGCAGTGTGAGATGAAGCAGGAGTGTGTGGAGGTGTGGCGAGACGTCAACATGGTTCAGCAAAGGTGGGCTAAGTTATGGTCTCATAACTAAGTTTGTGTAGCTGCCAAGACCGAAAAGGAATGCTACTACCAACGTTTGTCTCTATTTTGTCGATTTTATCCCGTAATGTTTGAAACAGGAATTTTGCATACAAACAACAAATAATTTATATTGACAACTGCTGACGTCAGACATGTATATATTTGCAGCAGAATTGCAGAATTTCCTTATGTTAAGTTTGCAGTATCACTCGCTAGTCTCAGTAGTGGGAGTGAAATGAAAATCTTGTAGTCCACAGAAGGCCTTCTAGCTTCTCTACAACTTGGGACAAGTTGGGACTAATCATCTACATGTGTACTATTGGTAGTACGTACTAGTATTTATGTCCTACCTGGGCCGCGATTACGTTCGATACGCGTGTTCCGGCCCGTGTGATAACTAGCGGTACGGCCCGGGGGTTCTGAACGCGTACGGCCCGGGGCTTCCAAATGTTCCATAGAACGATTCGAACGCGTTTCGCCCTAACCGCGTGCACCGATTTAGAAATTCGAATACAAAATTCGGACGTTGGAATTGCATTTTTTGGGTTTAGGGACACCACATTTTCGCTCATTTCGCATTGAAAGGTGCGTTTTCTTGGGTGGGTATGACATAAATAAAATACAACACGGTGTATTCCGCATCACCCTCGGTCCCAGCCCTCCCGCGGATCGGATCGCCCTCCGGCCTTCGGCCGTCGGGCGATCCGACGCGCGGTCGGGCTGGTACCTCGGGCGATACGGAATACCCCGTGTTGTATTCTATATATACTACCAGCACAAACCTGTTGGGCCTAATTTATTAGTATACAAGTAATGTGTTACTCGGAAACCACGGTAGATTTAATGCCAACAGAAGTGAATAACATGTTCTGCTGGTGAATGTCTTTGTTTCAGTCTTGATGAGGAGACAGCAGGTGCTGGTCCTGCAGATAGCCACTGCCCCCTGTTGGCTGTCAGCAGAGCCAAACAGCTGCAGCTACAGGCGCAGGTGGAAGTACTGGAGTCTCAGCAGCCGCAGCTCATGTCTACCCACAAAAAGGTCCGCAAATTGGGAGGAACTATTGGAATATTATGTCATGTGATTCACGGGTGATTTGTAACAGACAATACATTATTGTTATTTATTCATTTATTGTTGGGAGTGATCATGGTTTTATACTACTATTAACGTGTAACTGTTAAAAAGTCTTTTAGATTATATTTTAGATATTATAAATTAGAAATAGAAGCGTTCATATGTTTAATGATAATCTGGAGCATTTCCAGAAAGAAATTGAATAGAAATAGGAGCAAGAATGTAGACAGTAGAGATGACATAATAGAATCACCCCAGTGGGCCAGTGTTGAATTTGTCTTTCTACTTGTACCCAACCCACGTCCCCTATGCTATAGAACCCATTTGGATGTATGAAAATGAATTTTGTCTCCATACAGGTGATAGAAGCGGTTCTGGTGAATCTTCTGCAGGAGTCTCTGGAGCAGCTAGCTGAACTCCTCCCAGCCATGAAGGTACAGCAGAAGGAGCTGTCGGCATCCCTAGAGTTGGAGGAACAGTTGTTAGAGCAACGACAGGAGATAGGGAGGATGCTAGAGAGTCGCCTGGCAGAAGTACCAGAGGCACAGGAAACATCTGTGGACAGTAGGGTAAGAAATTGCTAAATAGTACTGTACTACTATGTACTAGTACTGTACTACTGTAGTGTGCAATTGTATATGTCATTTTATGGTCAATGTTTAGCAGAATGTTTGCTAAGCTTTTCCTGTCTATTATCTTCCACTCCCAGGTGAAAACATTTAGAAGGAAAATAAAGGCAGCAGAGCAGTTCCATGGTAACCTGGTGCAGAGCTTGGCTGAATTCTTGGACACACACTTCCCTCCCCCACAGCCAGGTAAGGGGAAGGGACGCCGCCGTCACGGATCCGGCCCGGTGGACAGGACTCTTGATGTTGACGACCCCCAGTGGGAGACTCTGAACAATATGATAGAGACACTTATATGCAAGTCAATGGACTCACCACATGATCCGTACATACCCATGGAGCCAAGATACTGGCCACCATATGTTGAGATGCTGCTGAGATGTGGTATTGCACAAAGGCACCCTGAGGACAGCGGCAGATTTAAACTGGCACCGTTTGACCTCTGAGACACTGAAAGTCTTTTGTATGTTACTGGTTTCTGTACTTATTCAGTATATGTGCTTGATAGTTTTAATCCCATGGGTCACATCCTTTCAAGCTTTGTACAGCTATTGATTGTATATAGTGGTGTCTAATGTATAATTTTCTCAAGATTGGGGCCCTGGCTTAGCCAGATAAAAAGGATGCTTGTTGTACTGCCCTCCATTGACTTTCGGGAGGTACTTAGTATATAAATGCTAGATTTGAATTGAATTATGCTCATCATAAGGTTTACCGAAATGTTTACATTTGGGAGTTGGATTTTAGTTATTTATGGCTTGGTAGTCACGTATGTGTATACAGAGTGTTCTATGCCATTTGACATAAGGATGCATTGGTATTTTGGTCCAATTTCTAGCAAGATGTTTATGTATGTATGCAAAGTGAAATGGATTCAAAGAGCAGAGCAAATCCAGCCATTCACAATCAACAACTGACTCTTTATGTTTAATATGGATTCACTTTACAGAAATAAATGTACATATAACCAGGTGGCATAGGAACAGATAGGCAAGAGTGTTTGCTGAACTAAAATGTATCATTTACACTGTGAGCTGTGGGTCGAGGAGTGCATCTCTGTGGAAAATATGTTTCACTAGAAGAGAAACTCTTCTGATCATAGATGCTACGCAATGATGTGATGTAAAAATTTGATCTTATTTTATCATTATTTTCTTGTAGTCATTTAATGCTACATGTAAATGGTATCCCCCAGGCTCCAGCACAAGGAAAGTACTGTTTCAGACTTTACCACGTGTAGGACCATTGAAATTGACGAAATAGAACATGTTTGGAGTGTAAGGGAATCTTTTACCAAAAGGCAGGATGTACCTGTACATAGAAATGTCCTTTACATAGATACAAGAATTTCATTTGCAGATAAGCCTTGACTGTATGTATATATATGTATATATATATGCTATTTTAGATAAGTGGATGTTTGGTCAGGTTTTTAGTTACACTATGTTTATGAGGTTTGAATCACGGGCTTACTCAACTTACTGCAATTATCTGTACTTTATCAGGACAAACCTACTACAGACAAGTCATGCTCAAAAGGCAACATGATCTGAGCAAATCTTTTATAATGCTACTATTAGTATCTAATTAGTTCATGTGTATAGCAGTAGTTGTACCGGAATCTGATACATGCACTTTCAAATTGAGCCTTGTACATTTATGTCTGCACTTTGCATTGCGGTTTATGTACTTTGCCAGCTTCAATTTAAATACCATACACATATGAAAGTCACTACTGTCTCTTTCTTGTATCCCGATTTATTATATAACAAAACTACATCTATAGCTCTCAAAAGCTGTTGGCTAACTCTATCCTCATATGCCAGGTACTCAATGGTAGCATTGTCTGTCCATTCCTGGATATCCTTGTTTTTGTTTACCTTGTTTTTGTAATCCTAGAGTCTAGATGCTAGAGTCATACTCCACAGTGAAACAGACCAAGTCACTTGATGTTACATATCAGCTTTTATTAGGTCACATCTGATGGGTCAAAAGGCTAAACATGCATAGTATCACTTAACAACCACACGATCCATAACTCTCAATGCCAACACATATACAAATACAGCTCTTCTAGTAGTTGAAATCACGATACTAGTTTGTTAGTACATGTACTTCATCCCGAGCCTCACTCAATGTAACAGTACATTCCCTTCCGAGTCCAAAGTTCTCTGCAGGTTAAACTTGGACTAACAGTCCTATATATTAGTGCTGCAACTTGTCTGTCAAGCAGAGAACACCCTGCATGCCTCAATAATTGTAGTCCTATACACTGCTTTATACAAGCACATATATATTATTGCTAAGCATGTATAGGCATAGAGATATTCACCCTATCAATAATAATAAAAATTTTTTAAACAAATACAAGCTCAACATGCCAATATTGAAGAAAAATTGAAGCAAGCAAATGAGTCCAGTTTCTGTGTCTTGTTTTATCAACATACGTTTTTGGCTACCGTAGTATGTTTACATTGTACAAAGATGGTTGATTTTTACCCCTGGAGCTCATACTTAAATTTTTTTCCCTCTAGCCAGACGTAAATTCTTCAAATGAAATGGCTGCCTAGTACTAGTACATTGTCCTGTCTTGTTGGCATTCTTCTTACTGCAAATCAAAGTCCAAAAGTTGAAGAATATTGTGCTGATATGTACATATCCCAATCCTACAGGAAAAGAAGATACATGTACCTTGAATACTGGTACATACAGTATCTTCAGAATAACAGCTAAGCAGCAACAGCAAAACAGGCAAGGTGTAATATATCATGGCATAACACACAACGGCTCATAAATTTCCATGTCATGTAGAAATGTTCATACATACTATACTATATACAAGATATTGATAATCAAATCCACACAACACATGGGTTATGTAAGTGATCACTTATCAAAATTGGAAAACTGTACGACAATGAGGCTGTATTGCAAATTGACTGGACGTGCAAAAAATGAGTCCAAAGATTATTGTTTTGTGAAAATGTCCTGCAAAATTTTGGTGACTGGTGATTTTGATCACACCACACCATACATCAGTTGCATAAAAGTTCATGTAGAGCATCTTGTACTGACGTTGCTTTTCTTAACTCCACAGTGTCATAGTAAAAATGATTTGAAAGACTGAAGACTGCAAGAAAATATCCAACATCTATTGGGTCTTAACGGCTCTATGCAGCTGCTTCAATCTATATAAATAGAGAGGACACTTCCAATATCTTGACCCATTTGTTGTCATTAATTCCTGGACATCATTGACAACACAAGTCACCCCAGCTTGTGCTTTATAAATGTTGACTAGCTTTGTTACAGATGTTTTGATATCTGTCATGTAATTGATACATTTTTGTTGTCTGAGATCAAGGGTTTTTTTCTTGAGGATCTTGTGTTCCATTCTCCCTCAAGCAATTCTGTAAGTTGTGACTGTAATTGTTGCCTTACCTACTTGGAAAGATTTCAGCCAAATGTAATGACAAGAGATGCTAATGATTTTCTTGGCAAAGTTAATCACAGAGCACAGCTATGTAGAAATGACCCTCTTGAAACACATGTTCATGTACAAGTATGGCTTGGAAAACAGCCTGTGTTTTAAACTAAACTTCGCATGGGAAAATTTTACTTGTAAGCCCTTAACAAAAACTATGCACTTGTAATTGGATTCTAATTCAAAATAGATATATATCTGGAAGCAACTGACAGTATTGCAAACTTATATTGTATCTTTCTACCAAATGTACCACGACAAGAACTTTACCATTTTCTTATCTATGTACAGCATATAATTTACAAATCTGCTACTTTCTGTCATCTTGTATCACATGTTTTGGCCAGTGTTGAAAATCTGTTGGATGTTTGAGAGTTGGAAGATTCTAACCTGTGTTTGCTTACTGCCCCCACAACATGGGACTCTATACTTTGACCTGTAGAGTCATTGTTACTACTGCTGTCATGTTTCTTATTCTGCTGCATTCTTCCTTCCAGAGAAGTGGAGCTTCTGTGTTCTGGTAGGCTGTGTCCGTTCCTGGAGTCCAGGCCACTGTCTTCGCCTCCTATACTGTGCTCTTCAGCTGGCTGTGTGTTGGTGGTCTGTGAGGAGTTGGGTGTTGAGGTTTCGCAGTTCTTTTGTTTGTTGAGAATCGACAACAGTTTGATAATGTACTGTTTCTGGACAGGCTTGTGCTCTGCCAAGCGCTGCTGGGCCTCTTGAAAGGAGAACCACTTCCTCTTGCGACCTACAACAGACGGACACAAATGATGTAGCAAATTCTTCTTCAGCACTGGGTTCAAAAAGAGATTATACACTTGTCATCTGTATTCACAAGGAAGTTTTTGAGACCACAAAGGACTAAACTAAGTCAACTGTTATTACCTATTTTCTGTGAGTCCTCCCAATCATCTAGCAGCTCGGTGACTTGTACGAGATATACCATGGTGCGGTGCTTCCTTTCTGTGTTCTCAAAGGTGTCCAAGTAGCCCTGGGGGATCTCCTCACTCAGGTGCACATCCAGCACACCTGTTACCCCTGCCTGTAAGGACAGGTCAGAGGGTCATGTCTTCACAAACACACAGGCCATGCAATGCACTGTTACATTTCTACTCTTAGAGAACATGAAATCATATATGATCTATATCTATACAACACTAGGAATCTAGCATAGACTAAAAAGGCAAAATACAATGTATGAAACAACAACAGGAGTAAGTACTGTTTGATAGAAAAAACAACAGTTAACAGGTTTCTGTCCCATGTAAGTTTTCCATGAATATTCTTATCAGTGGGAGCAAGTACATGTATCAAGTAGCCATCATTGCAGTGCATCTAAGCATGCACTGGTTTCACCCAAGGTTTGTTCCACCCCCACAGTCTGCCCCACCCCCCATTTTTACCAATCAAAGACCACAGGTGTCAAGTCTTAGAAGTCCAACTCACCTCTTCTGCTACCTCTCGAATGGCTGCCTGGCTTGGCTCCTCCTCTGGCTCCAGACCACCACCCGGAACCACCCACCGGTCAGGGTAACGACTGCTGCTCACCAAAAGAACCTGCCAGAAATATACCAGGGACACTGAGCAACAGGGGAATGTGTTGTATCTATACTAGTAACTATAAGTATTTTTCTGTACCTTCAAGAAGTACAGAATACAGGGAACCAGTCAAGTAAGTAAACAATTGTTTTCCCATGATTTACTAACATAGCACATAAACAGACATCAGGGTGTGGCAGTTCCATGTGACCACAGATACCAGTTGTTCGCACGTGACTCAGTTGCCCTTTGGTAAGACATTGTGTTCACATCCGTGGTAAGCATGTGATTAAGTAATGCTTAGCCTTGGCATTGTACAGCTCACAAGTGTGGTAAGCACATGATTGCCCTAAGTAAATAGTATCGCTTTGGTGAGACATGGTACCATTCTCTATCATAGTACCATTCTCAACTGGTGGTAAACACAAGATTAACCAATGCTTTGGCTTCACATTGCACAGTTTACAAATATATTTAGCACATGACTAAGTAAATAATGCTTTAGCAAGGCACTGTGCTGTTCATTGGGACTAAGTAATGACATGTTGCCACATCTCTCCTCCAGTTCAAACAGAGGTGTAGAGCCCACATGTTGTCATCCCGTCACCACCAGGGGTACCGTAGGCTCGGTGACCGCCGCAGCAACATACTTGCCACGAGACTCCGCATCGGCTGGTGCCAGCTTAACTCCACGCTGGCCAAGTTCAACCTTACCGGCCGGGGATGTGCCTGTGGTGCAACCTCGGAGACAGTCACACATTTCCTCCTGCACTGCCCACTGCACGCAGCGGCACGACAAGACCTTGCCACTGCTGTGTACCGCCTCGTGAGACGGCCCCTCTCCACCAGCGTTCTACTCAACGGGTCCCCGGGCAATGACATCACATTAAACGAAAGCCTCTCACACTCCTTCCACACTTACATCACTTCAACAAACCGTTTCTAGGCACTTCCAGCTGTTCCTTTCTAACCTTGTTATTTAGTATCCTTTTTTTTCTCATATAAGGTAGTCTGACTGTGACTTATTTTATCGACCTCTGACCTCCAAATGTGTTATTTTAGATGTGTACATATATTTACTCGGCTAATTGGAATGATATAGGTTCTTATGATCATATTTTTTTTTTGTAATTTCACACTGTTGATATTATTAGCCTGACTAAATCGCGCTCCTGGCGGCCGCCGCCCTAGGTTGCCAGGGTGGGGGTCATTAACCTCCAGCCGAGAGCTTGTGTATACACAGGCTATTGATATTATGTGCCCTATATGTTTTGTCCTTATGTGTTGACTCTCTAACATCAGCTTTGCTGCCTTGAGAGTCAGTGTAATGTCTTGTTGCATTTTCAATAAATAAATAAAGTAATGACATCATGATAACAACAGTACTAAGCAGTAAGCACATGATTAAGTATTGTTTCGGTGGAACATTGTGTTTAAACCAGAGATAAGCATGTTACTGAGAGATGCTTTGGGCCAGACATCTTGTTTACACAGGCACTGATCATCCACCAATGCCACATGGATGCCTTGCTCACTCCTTACACGTACATGTACGGCTTTTAAAGATTAGAATCACTTTGGCTTACTATTAATTTTTCATACCATAATCTGGAGTCTTAAACGTCTTGCTTAGCAACTACAGTACATGTATACATGTATGTCCAGCCTCCTTATTTCTGAACTCTGTGCCAAATAACATGAATTACCATTAGCTGATCCAAGCCAAATCTACCATATTATAACACAGCTTCAAAGGTCAGTAGCTCAGCAAGCATATTTTCTACTGAAGACATGTAATTAACCTTTATATGCAGTGACTAGTCTACTGACCCACATGAGCCATAAAATTATTCACCTGCTTTCTAAAATATGGCATGGCATTAACATTTACATGCCAGCAACACTGCACAATCTTGTTGCAGTAGAACAATACATGCATAGTTCTCACTAGGCTGTTTGAGCGTAGGGGCCCCCTACGCTGTGATTTGGACCCCCTACGCTGTGATTTAGCCCCCTACACTGTGTTTCAACCAGCGTAGGGTGGTTTTTGGGGCAGAAGCTTCATTTAATCTTTAAAAAATGAAAGTATAACTTAAGAATGAAGCTATAACAGAGGGAAAACAAAATCTGTCCCCCAATAAACAATAAATAGTGTCTTAAGTGGTAAATATGAGTTACAACATTTTTGGGGGAGAATATCAGGCCCATGTTTTGGGGACTCGGTGCGTGACTCGCGCCGCAGAAAGTTGCCCTTCTATACCTGACCCCTATGCTGTGAAAAAATCCTGGTGAGAACCCTGTATTACATGGTTAGTGTGGTAAAGGTTAAACTATTTAAACATCATGAGTATTTCTAGTTGTACAAATGTGAAAGGCTGGCCTTTGACTGATGTTGTTATAAGAAGCTTTTTGACAGTACCTTTCATGGCTTTCAATGTATTTGACAGAGATGGAATACCCAAATCAAAACATTTCATAATGAAATTGGAAAAACACAATAACCATATTATAGGTGATGTATTATCAGGACCATACATCTTGTCAACTGCTGCAACAAACTTTTGTTTTCGTGGTGAAGCCATTGAAATCTGATTACAAGTAAATGTAAAGTAACAAACTGATACAAATTTCTTTATCAAACTGAAAGTAAAACCAAAACAAATGATAGTAACAAATGGTATCTGTCTGAATATTATGTGGAATAAATCACAACACCCTATGTATATGCTAAGTATAAAATATTCATTATTGTCGTAATTATCTAAACTAGGCCACTTACATAAACAAACTGGTGACCTTCCTAAGCAAAAAAAAGGTTGGAATGAATGAATGAAAGAAATCTTCTTTTATATCATTTAAGTACATGTTTGTGTAACTGTTCATGTATTTTGCTGTCAGGATTCTGCTGTTTCCTTTACCTTCCAAACATGTACATGCACATAAAGGGTACATGGAACATCTGCAGGAGAGCTTGGGTTTAGTTTACTGAGAGAGACAATTCTGTATGAAAGGATACCAGTAAATACTAGTGTCCAGACCAGACTCCTTGTCAGGCTGACAAAATGGAAGAAAATGGACAAATACAAAAAAATGTAAAAAGTTGGCCATCCAGGAAACAGTTTCACCTCGGTTTCAGGCAACTCCTCTGGCATATCAGCCTTCCTTTGGGGGCAAATTTCTAGTATCAGACAGCAGAGGAGTCTGGTGGAGACTAGTCCATATCTCTGCACTGCCTAATTTGATTTGGCCCTGTGCTATGGGTGTGTCTACACAGTATTGATTCTTTGGGCTTGACTGGCCTTCATTGCCCATGTTTATTACTATTGAATAGCTGATGCAATATACTTTATAAAAATATGCAGATGGGTAAGTAGACATAAGCACAAAAAAAATAGATGGGAACTGGTCCTGCTAGGAGGACATGACATCTTCCAAGAAAAACAAACATTGAGATAATGACTTCATAATAAAACAGAATCTTAATTACCTTGCTTCTTCTGATCATGTATCTATTGTAGCCTGGATGATTCTATCTCTTGATCTGATATGGCCAAAAAATGACAGTGAATGTGACTCAATTCATCTGGCCACAATGATGAAAACATTGTACCGCATGTGGTACCTTGCAACTTACATGATACACATTGTATTTGGCATTCAAACTGGTTTGTTATTGTTTTTACAGGGATGCTTTGTTCTTCTTTCATGGGAGTTTGAGCTCGATTCTCTTTTCCCGAGGCTGTAACAGAGAGAGTGACTCGTACCTGATCAGTAATGTGCATGCTAACGGTAATTATTGGAATGACAGAGGAAACAATACAATGATGAATCTATCTACAGAAACACCGACTCGAGGCATAGCTCAGGGTGGTTTGACCGCGTGGTTGCTATGTCTTTTGACCCCGTTCCCTTATCAACATGACAAAAAACGATGTTAACCACGGAATAGAAAGGCAGATGGTTTAGAATCGACCAAACTATCTAGCAGTCGTAACAAACAGAATGCATTCCATTAACGAATCTTGTAGGCTATTTAAATCCAGGAATTTATATCGCAATCTCTCAGTACGCGATTATTCTGGCGGGAAGTGCGCTCCACTAACCTGGTCACGGTTTGCGTTCAAGCAGAGACAAGCTGCCCTTTTCCTGAAGCCGTCTGCGTCGTATGTTCGAACTTGGTTCTCCTTGGGCTTCATGGCGGTCCTAAAATCGGCTCGTTTGATCCAGAAATATGCCGAAAATTACCTGGAAACATACATCCACCCGACGACGTGAGCAGCCATTTTGAAAACACGATGGTTCCGCCTGACGCTGATTGGCCAACGAGTTTTCCTTTTGACCAATCAGAGTTATGCCGGGTGCTGGAGGCGTGATCAGGGCGTGATGGTGACGTCACATACACCAGCACAGCTGATGCACGCGGGAAGTAAATGATATGCTGCCAAACCCCGCTAGATCAACACTAGCGCGCTGGAAACGGGCCAAAAGTCGGACGCAAAGCTCCCGAGTTCGTGTTGCTTCATGTTACTTAAATATAAAGAAAATCTCACCAAGTAGAGAGGCATGAAAAATGTGATATACTAGTAGTGCAAATGACAAGTATTTTGTTTCGTAGACTATTTGTCATCCTCGATGAAGCTATTGTTCGCCTTTTAGAGCTTATTTTGACTTGTTAAACTGGTTTCGTAGTTTTAGTATTTTTGCTGTACTCAGGACCTGTTTGTAATTCTGTACTAGTAGCATAGACTGTTGTTTTTACGTTGACTTTTGTTGTTTCATGCTATAATGTTGATACTGATAGCTTTCTATTGTTTGTTTAACTCCCCACGCCATCCATTTTGCCTGCAACCTTTTGTCAATTTGTGTACATTTTTTTTGCATTGTTTAGTCTTAGCGTGGTTCGAGTAGGGTGGTGCCCGATTTTCATCTCTAAAGCTTCAGAAATTTCCTTCCTTTCCGTCTTTTCTTTCCTTAACCTTGTAGTTTCTCCCTCCTTGCACTATCAGCTCGCGATATGCCAATATGTAAATTAGTTCAAGTATAGACAAACATGTCGTCAACCCTTTTACTTTTGACCATGGAGGTAAATGTTTTGACAAATTAAATGTTAAGCTGGTATCGTTCTTGATATATTCTCATCTCGTACCATGTCCTGCATTTTTGTTTAATTCATACCACATTATTATTTTATCATTAGTCAATGCATTTTTGGAACCCGATTTGCCGTGAAACGGGAAGGCACATGTGTCAACTGGGGACATTACACTCTCATGTCTTCTCCCCCTTCACCAGATGACCGACCGATGTTTACATAGGGTTGATATCATGTACATGTAACGTTAAATATATCATAATCATCATTGGCATATAATTATAAAGCAATCATTTACGTGCCATCGAAAAAGTCTTTAAAAAAGGGCAACTAATCGTGGTGTCTATAGGACACTTTATTCACTGTAATATGATATACTGTTATATGAATAACACATTCTACGTACAAAAAGCAGATTGCCAAAAAAGTAGAAACTAGAAAGGCCAATATTTGCTTTGGAGCAAATACAGCGATGGGTTCACCACATTTTACGACATGGCAGGGAAAGAATGAGAAACACAAGGGAAAACAATGATTTACATTGATATAACTATAATATGAAGTAAAATACAACTAAAACAACAGTTGGATAGCTATTCCCTACTTTATTGGTTAGGATTTTTAATTGCATAATGCAAACTGTTCATTTTCAAAATAAAAAAAAACGTCCATGCCCCGCATTCCAATGCTGGAGCAGGAAAGCTTGAAATCCCTACCAAAACACTTGAATACAGACATACTGTCAGTATGGAAATGCTCTGTGCAGGTGTTAATCAAGTTAAATCCCAACAGCCAATCAGCAAGAAATGCTCTGTGCAGGTGGAAATGCTCTGTGCAGTCTGTTAATCAAGTTAAATCCCAACAGCCAATCAGCAAGAAGAATAGAGGAAAGCTGCATGCCTATTGGTTGATGCCCTGCATTCCATTGTGATGACTCATGCCCAAACGTGGTAAACATGGCACACTAACACAGTAATACATTTGCTATAACACAGCCAAAAAACTCAAATAAAACCATTGTAAAAGCCTGTATCACAATAATTTAAAAAACGCCTAGGGGTATTTGCCCACTGTACCTCCATACCAAATTTCAGGACCTCGGGCCCTAAAATGAAGAAGCTGAATCCATTTAAAAAATGGCAGGAGAAGAAGGAGAAGGAGGAGAAGAAACATCAGAAAAAGCAATATGGGTTCACCACCACTTCGTGGTGTGGTGAACCCATAATAAAACGGCAAATCCAGGTATCCGTACCTACGAAGGTATATGGTGATGAAATGGGGCAGTATTATTACTCGCGTTTTCTAAATACAGTACAAACATATGCATTCATCTATTCAAGCCTATTCAATACCAGCCAGTGACCACAGTAACGCTTCAGCACTTGTCGATCAGACCCTCCCAGTCCTGCCAGTAGCGTCGTGTCATGCGCACACAGTACTCCCTGATGTTCGGACACTTCTCAGTGACGAGAACGTACAGGTCTGATGACTGCGGTGCCGCCCAAAGGATCTCTGCCATGAATCCGTACACAGTGGCATCGGCCTCTGTCGGCTCCTGCCCCATGACGAAGGGCTTTTCTCCTGAAGGTCATAATTAGAGTAAACACACGACGGAGCAATCCAAACAGCAAGAAGTACTTTAAAGCAGAAAGATAATAATAATTATCTTGATGTTTATAAAAAATAAATTAGTCCTTACCCAAAAACTCTGACACTGCCTTGATGTCCATCTCGGTGACGTCATGAATACGAGGGGTGTTCAAAAAGTTCTCGGCCTCACCTAGAAAATAAAGGTCAAACTACTATTCTTTGGTATAGCTGTATACTATGACGTCTTACATCACTGCATGCAAAAATTCACATTTTTATATTCATTAGTTAGCAACGTGACGCCCCTTGAAAATGGGGGTAGGGGTGAGGGAAAATCACAAAATGGACCGCAACAGAAGCGTGAACTCTGATCAAGTGTATCGATAAAAAATGATGTCTCCAAAGGACATACATAAAGACATGGTCAAGGCACTTGGTGATGACGCCGCTTCTTAGTCAACTATAAAGAAGTGGGTTGCTTGCTACAAGCGCGGCAAGGAGACCACCAAAGATGACCATATGTCAGGATGCCACAAATCAGCACCATGGACAATTCAGTTGAGGCCATCCATCACATGGTAGTGAATGACAGATGTGAGACTGTCCAACATGTAGCAGGTTCTTTGGCCTGTGTTATGACTCAGTT